TCTGTTGGCCTTGACTTCTTCAGATCAGAATGAAAGACAAACCTGTGTGTAAGGAAAATACATTAGAATTTTTGAGGGTTAGATGGTCAATAAATTAAATTACCTTATCAGATTCAATATCAGGAAGTGTTTGTTTGTGTTATGTATATATATAAAATTTATTTTAGGATATTACATCAAAAAGCATGTCAAAATCCCTACACCATTGCAGTCGTGTTTCAATGTGTATCAGTGCATCTCATTAGCCGATTGTAAATTGCTGGCAAGTGAATGATTTATTCAGATTTAAATGCAAAATACAGCCTCTTTTTAAGAAAAAAGAAATAAGAAAAAAAGTCGGGTGGATATAAGGTTTGTGGGCTTTACTCAAATCAACAATCAAATATGATCTATGTTAAATTTAAACTAAAGGAAGAAGCAAAAATTAAGAAGTTATTTTTCATAAATGGGTCATGACCCATAGATTTGAAATCGATGGCAGCAATAGCAACACAAAGGAATATTGCTCTATTTTGTATTGAGACCTCTTTTAAATTAAATGTTACAAAGATTGGAATTGTACTCTATTCATTCTCATCTTAGCTGAATGAATATATATATATATATATATATATATATATATTAGAGTTGTTGATGTCTGTTAGATTTTAAATCAGCCCATTCCAAGTAGATCTCTGATATTTTCTCTACTAGCTTGTATACAACATTGTGCTATTATTTCTTTCATGATGATCAGCAATATTATATAAGGTCCTGATCTTTGGTTTATTATTGATAATTCTGAGGTAAGAGCACTCTCAGTGTATGTTCTTCTTAGTGAATCCTCTTCCCTCCTGATTAAACTGGCAATTTTTAAGTCAAAATTGAGTGCATTTAAACTATTGTTATAGAGTATATCTCTGCCATGCTCGTATGATCTTATTTTTTAGGTTTCCGGATGTTCATCATTGGGCATTTTGTACAATCTATTCTGCATATTCTTGTCTCTGTCCTGTTGTTGTTGCTATATATGTTGATGATGACACAAAGAAAGCTTACAAACATGTTTTGCTGACATCTGCCAAGCTTCTTCAGGTTGGAATGAAAAACAAAACAGTTTAAAAGAAAATATGTTGAGATTTTTGAGGAAAAATGTGTAATGTAATTAAAGTGTATTAATTTCTTTAAATGTAAATTTCATTTTTATCACAACTCAAAAGAATCACCAATTTGTAGTATCTTTTAAATGGACAATTTGCCACCTTGACTTGTTTGTTATTAACTAGTATATATATTTACAGTCTTTACCTTTTCTTCAAGTCAAGGTTGATATCTTCAATTTGGTCTAAAGCAAAGAGAAAATCTGCTGTATTGAACTAGCGTTGGGACCAGCTCATATTTATAGAGTGCCCAATAAAATTAACTGACCATATATTATTTGTGATTACCTCTCTTTATTGTGTACCGGTATATGACATCAGTGGGTGGGGTGGAATTAAACAATCATTTGTGTTAATAATTGATCTGCCTTTGTCTTAATAATTGATCTGCCACTAGGTTGTACTAGACAATTTTTCTCACCAGAATCTATCTCACACATTTATAAGCCTATCATTCATCCTTGTTTCGAATATTGTTGTCACATCTAGCCTGGTGCACCTGCTATATATTTAGAAATTCTTGATAAAATCCAAAGAAGAGTCTGCAATCTTATTGATCCTGACCTGGCATCTTGGTTTCAGTCCCTTTCCCACCAGCTTAACGTAGCTTCTCTGTTCCTTATCTATAAATACTTTTGTGGTAATTGTTCTGATGAAATCTTCTCTATGGTACCCAGATGTTATGAATTTAAGCACAGTATTAGATTGGCGCCAAGGTTTCATCAATTTACACTTGAATTGGCTAGATGTAATTGTAAGTTCTATACTAACAGCTTCTTTTCTCACACTTCTTGCTTGTGGAACTATCTTCTGGGTTCTTGCTTTCCAGGCAACTTTGATCTTCAAAAATTTAAATGCAATGCCAATTATTATCTTCTGTCTTCTTAATGCTTGTTTTTTTATTGTCCTCTCTCATTAATAGTAGTTTTTCTCATACACTCAGTAACTTCTTGTATCCTAGTGGCTTCATTGCCTTGTTTGGGATAAAATGATTAAAAAAATCCAATAAAACAATTGTAATGTAATTAAGTGGTATAATTTCCTAAAATATTATTTTTTTTTCCTGTGGAAGATCCATCAATTTCTAGTATATTATTTAAAAGCTGCATAGTTATTTATGCACCCATTGCTGGGATAACACTGGGGTTTTCTGGACTGGAGTCAAGAGTCAGAGCAGAGGCTTCTCCCCAGGGAATCAATGTCCATGACCAAGATGAGCCTTCAAGTCAGAGGACATCAACAAGTGTTTTTCATCCCAAAAGGCATGGGTTCTGCAAAGCCTGCTTTGCCCAAGTTATGCTATACATGAATGAATGCTTTTCCAGTTAACAGACCAGATAATATTACACAGCATCTGTATAATTACACCTAGCCATAGGATTGATGATAATGATGAATGTACACGTACTATATCAGAAGGTGAATTCCTCAGTAACTAGTATTTGCCTTGTTTGTAATTGGCTAACATATTAATTAAGGAAGTTTACCTTCTTTTCAACTAATTCATACTTGCTACTTTTGTCTCTAACCTGCAGCAGTTTGTATTGTGATGTTGTTCATGAGAAGAATTTTAATTAAAACTTAATCAAAATTAGTATTTGTTGTTTGAGAAAATTTTGAACAGAATTAGAAACCCAACCTTACAAATTTTAAAAAGAGTTTGATGTATATGTATGTAATTGTGTATTTGGGCAGCAACCCCTCTTTTATACAAGTTTCATTAAAGATGACTGACAAGGTACTGTGATTAAGCTTTTTATTTAATTTTTCTTGTGTTCATATAAATGTTTTTTTTTCTGGACATATAACGTGTGTAAAAATTGTTCAAACGAAAACACTTATATGAGCACAATAAAAAAAATTGAATAAAACCTTGTCAGTCATCTTTAATGATATTTGTGTGTGTATACACACACACACACACACACATATATGTGCATATGTGTGTGGATACACACACACACATATATATATATATATATATATATATATATATATATATATATATGATCACAATGTCATCTACAGTGAATTTTCACCCTGGCCCTTACAACATTTCACCAATCCTGGGAAATGTATTATCACAGTGTAGGATATCTACTAACAAAAGTGATGGAAAGAAAAAGAAAAAAATGAAATCAGGTAGATAAAAAAAAAATGCTAAAATTCCCAGCACCCCTCATTTGTGTGCATGTATATTTGTACCAACATAACAAATTTAATTCAATCAAGTCCTGAAGGGTAAAATGCATCAAAAGTAAATTTTTCCCCATTTGTCATACATTTTTCCTAACACACACACACACACACACACACACACACACACACACACACATATATATATATATATATATATATATATATAATACCCATTTGTGGCTGGTAGGGATAATTCCAAGGAAGATATTAATCAAAAGAAAGCCCAATGTAGATTTAACTTACAGAGCATTATAATACTCTGTAATTAAGATCTTTCGGTCTGAAGAAATGAATACAAAAATATTAACAAAATAAATTATAGCCTCACTGAATCTTTAAAGGTTTTTCTTGATTTATTTATATATATATATATATATATATATATATATATATATATATAAAGAATGTAGTTATCTGGTTGGATATGGATAAAGTTCTTCTGATTTGTAGAATATTAAATTTATTTAGAAACTGCAAGTATTTTTCCCAACAAAATATAAATCTTAATAAAATCAAATATAAACTCTGAAATTAACTTATATGAAAGTATATGTGGAGTTGACATATGTTTATCTTTCATAAATGTCATTTTTAGTATAAAGTATGGATATGAAGATGATGATGATGTATGAGCTGGTTAATTTGTATGTATGCTTGCCTGCTCTCTTAAGATATGTTTGCAACCTTGAACACTTTACAGTTTGCTCGCAATTGGCACACAATGCTGATTCCAGTTCTATCCAAATTTATTTCGATAGTTCTACAAGATGGCAACACTTTTGTAAAACAATGCGAAAATAACTAAGTTAACAGTTTGTCAATATTTCTACACAAAAAGTGATGCATATGAAAGCAACATGGTATCAAGCATGTATCAGAATACAATTCAAGTTTTTTAAATAGCTATTACCTATTTTTATTTTTAAGATAAATTTCAATTTTGGGAGATTTTTTTAGAGTCATTTCAGCTTTTTGAAATATTTGAAAAAAATTATAATGAAAATTTTTATCACATTTTTTAAAGAAGAAATTAGCATTCTTATATGCTTTGCTTTTCAGACCAGCATGCTCATGTTGGCTGTTATACTCACAACGTTTCAGTCATTAAATTTTGGCCTTCTTCAGCTGTCTATCGTCATACTCAGCAACCGTCTTGGAATTTTCAGCTGAACTCTGTATTTAATCCATAGGAGTCACAATTGTTATTGTTCTGCTTGGGATGGGGTGGGAAGTATTTTGTACCTATTCACACTTACTAATTTCATTCATCTTTGTGTCACTTGTTCATTTCTTCTACTGAATCAGAATATGTGACTTTTCAGCACTACCAGACTCAAGGATTGAACTCATAGCTGCCAAGGAATCTATAATATATATTATATTTTAACCACGGCTTTAATCCACTTGACTACATGTTTTTTAAATGAGAACAACCTACCTCTCTAGATTGAATAACGTTATGGAATATGAAGACAAACACCTGAAGATGGCTGGAGGATATAATGTTCGAAATGTTATGACTTATAACAACTATAGTAAACATTCCTGTCCAAAAAGCAAAGCATATAATGACAAAAATTTTTTAGTTGAGCCTCTTTCTAATATGAAGCATTATTTCAAATATTCCTAATTGGAAAAAGCTTTTCCATTTATTTTTATCAGATACAACGTTTGCATCATGGCTTATGGACAAACGGGAAGTGGAAAAACACACACGATGCTTGGAAGCCATAAAAATGAAAATTACAACTTGAGTCATGAAGCCCAGCCAAATGAAGGGGTTATTCCTCGGGCAATGAGGGAACTGTTCAGGTAAGAATACTTTTTGGACAAGGTTAAGGTCATTGACCTAAATGTAATATTATGAATTCTTGTTAAACGTATTTACATGTGAACTTCCATAAATGCATACATCTCAAAATACAATTACAAAATTTAAAATAGGATTAAATAATTGCCGAATATTACCCACCCCCACTAACGCCCTGAAAATGTCTTTTCACATTCTTTGGTATCAATAGCAAACAACAAGTTATCTAAAATCTAATTAACTTACATATATTAAAGGGCATCCATTATTTTCTTTATTGTTTTGTTTACGGGGTGGGAGTTGTCAAAACAGATAATGTAATTTCTTGGGTGGGAGGAGCATTTTATAAGGTATGAAACCCACACAGGAGTTAACCAATTATTTATTGAGTGAATCATCATTTGCCCACCATGCCACAGTTTCAGGGATTCAAGAGCAAATCTACAACAAAGTCAACACAATAAATTCCTCTTGTAATATGTAACCCACTTCGGATGACATCAGAGAAGCCAGGTGCATTGGCGGGGTGACCTTAAAGAAAATATTTTACCCACTAAGTGCATATCCATGTGATTGACCAAACTGTTCTTAGGAAAAAATGTATCATAGGTTGATATATAAATACCCACCCTTGAAGAAGAGAGTTAGTTACACCAGCATGAGTAACTCTCTTCTTCCCTCAAGGGTGGGTATTTATATATCAACCTATGATACATTTGTAATGTTATGTACAGTAATGTTATGCATAAGTGATTTAGCCTCATTTTTTTATCAGCCTATATGAGATGATAACTTTCTTTTTCTTCTATGTGTCATGTCCCTTCAGGACATGGGCGATCATGGCTCTCCACCATTTTCTGTCCTTTGTAATTCTTAATAATGTTTGTCATTTTGTTACTTTTCCTAATCCCTGTTCTGTCAGCCATTTACACACGATTGTTAGGTGGGTTATGCACTGATTTCCTCTGTCTCTCTTGCTTTAAATCTGTCCTGTGAGTGTCAAATTTTCTTAGATCTCTTTCCTCATTATGTGTCGTAGAAATTTCAAATCTTTCTTTCTGATTCTCAGTATAAGTATCCTTTTTGATTTCATTTTCTCTAACACTTTGCATTTGCTCCAATGTTCAGGCTATGGTATTCTTCATGTGACACAATGAAATCATTAATTGGCACTTAAAAATTATTAAGAATAAAATTGGTTCTTTTTTTCAAACAAAATTCTATCAAGAATAGAATTTTGTTGAAAACAAGTATTTTCCTAGGATTTGGTCATTTTAAGGGTCACTGGGTTTAAGGTTTAATATGTTCAAGTCTGTTGTTTAATTTCCTAGGATTTGGTCATTTTAAGGGTCACTGGGTTTAATATGTTCAAGTCTGTTGTTTATTTTTTGCTTTTGTCTTCAGTTTCCATATTGAATGGTCACTGAAAGGTAATGAGTTCAAAAACTGCCAAACCTCACAACACCTGCATAAGTTGCATTTGACCTACTTAAAGAATCCTGGCTACCTTCAGACTTAAGAATGCAATAAATAAAAGCAATGCTGAATCAGGGATTTAGATCAATTTTCCGCTCTACTTCGGTAAATTATAATCCAAACTATGGTTGGTTGATCAATGTGAATATGACACAAAATGGTCTGTCATTGGATCATCAATCAGAAGCCTGTTTGGTCTGAAAATTTCGTCCATAATGGCTGAAGCACTGAGTTCTACAAGAAGACCGGAGACAAAAAGTCAAGAAGCATATCTTCCTCTCCAACACCAGAATCTCTCCATCCAGTAGAAGACATTGTGAAGGCCTGTCTCATTGATGAAAATCCCAGACATTGAACCAATTACTCAAATTGCAATAATCACATGCTGGTTTGCATAAAGCTGTAGTGCTGGACAAAACTTCTCACTATGTCTTTTCTCTCTGACACTTGGCGACATTAATACCTATTGAAAAGAACTGTCTTCTTTAAACAACCAACTGGCAGAAATTAACATTTTCTATTCTTCATGTATTGTTTCACAATTGTGTTACAATAAATACTTCTTTATTAATGGAGTGTTGCTTGAACCTTTAAGTTGCTGATCTTTCTATCAACTTGTACTGAATGTCCTGGCTGTCAGAATAAATTTGGCCAAATGGTGTCATCTCCCTTCTGTGGATCTTTCAAACACAACATTGGCACAGAAGGAGTTGATAGAACAACTAGTCAGAAAACCCATGTGGTAGTCACAGAAGTGAGACCACACCTAATGCCGTGACAAGCACAGGACTACATTAGTATCCTTTTGTAGAACCAGATTTCTATTACTTCAAGTGTCTATGAGGAGATTATCCAGCATTCATTGCCATAGAGAATGACTGATATTACAGTACTCTTTTCTTTGTTTCTCATGACATTTTCATATTTCTTAATGATTTGCTTAACTTTTGGAAATCATTTTTTACTTTCACAATACAACTTCAGATTTTGGTGTTGCACTTTCCATCCTCTGTTAAAACACTTCCTGAATAACTGAATTCATCTTTTACATGGTAAGTGAATAAATAAGTGACAGGTGTCACCAGAAATAAATCAATATATCTTATTAGAGAATATAAAGCAAGCAATGAATTAAATGCTAATAGTTTAGGTGTATGCAAAAGTAGAATCTTATATTACACCAAGACAGAAAGAGATTTGATCTGGGATGATGACATTACACTAATGCAGGCGTCCACCATTGTGTCCTATTCTTGTACCTATGTTGTTCCTGATTTTCATCAATGACTTTCCTGATATCATCAGTTCTCAGCTCGGTTTCTGTGCTGATAACACAACAATTTACTAATGTCTCACTAATAAGTCTGATCGGTTTGATCTCAAAAATGACCTACATTCTACTGTTAACTGGGTAAGGAATCTTGCTCAATAAACTGAATGATGGTAGCTCAGCGAAAAAATAGAAAAATGATCTGTGAGGAGAAATTTCTGTAAAATTAAGCAACCCCCAGTGTTTGTGATGCTAAAAACAGGGAGTAAACTACATCCTTGAGTATGAATCTAACACCCTTTGTTTCTGATGCTAAAAACAAGGTGTAAATTACATCCTTGAGTATATGACCCCCCAGTGTCTCTGAAGCTAAAAACAGGGAGTAAATTACATCCTTGAGTATAATATGGCCCCCCCAGTGTTTCTGAAGCTAAAAACAGGGAGTAAATTACATCTTTGAGTATAATATGACCCCAGTGTTTCTGAAGCTAAAAATAAGAAGTAAATTACATCCTTGAGTATAATATGACCCCAGTGTTTCTGAAGCTAAAAATAAGAAGTAAATTACATCTCAGAGTTTAATACAACCCCATAGTACAGACATTAGTATATAATTTTTTTTTTAAATTGTGCCATATTATCCTTTAAAATTTCAATGTCATACATTATATTTCAGTAAAATATTTAATTTTTCATGACAGTAAAGAACAGAAATGAATCGTGTGTTTCTACTTTTAATTTCTCTTTCAAAACTTATATTTGAATTTTTGGGGAAAGGTGCTAACTAAACATGCCTGCTAATATATTTTAAGGTACTAATTAATCTTTTCTGTTTGATATGACTTTATTATATTTCCATGTATTAGTGAGTTATTAAAATAAAAAAGATTGTCTTTTATTAAAAGAATGAAGCGAGAAAACTTCAAAAAACAAAGTGAAAATAGAGTGTATTTACAATCTTGCTGTTGCAAATAAAAATGAAAATATGTTTGATAGGACCCCACCAGCCACTTTTTTGCCTTCAATTTTCATTCAAAATTTCTTGTTAGGGAAGAAGGTTTTAGAAAGAAATTCATTATTAATTGATAGAATCAGGATGTACCATTGCTGCTTAATATTATTAGTTTTTTTGTGAACTACCATCTTTGTTCAGGACATAAGCATTCAGAGCTCTCCACAGATTTCTTTTGTTTATTATCTTAGGAAAGCTAGTTGCATTCACTTCACTCTTTGCTAATGAATCTGAGAAAGACAAGAATCCATCTTCCTCAAATCTCAAAATCCATGATATTTTTTTTATGGGCCTATGTCAAATAAACGGTTTATGTCAACAGGCCTCAGAGTGTCCAATAACTAAAGGACAACATTCAGAGAGAAATCAAAGCCCTACAGCCTGAAACAATGATGTCAACAATGGAAAACACCTTAGAATTGTCACATTTGTGTGAAGCTGAAAATGGATGCTGCTTAAAAGGTGTAATCTTTCTCATCTTCTGTAAATTTATTTCCCATATTTACTCTATGTAATGGTATTGTGAATTAAAGTAAAGAAGTTATTAAAGTTTGAAACCCCTTTGTGACTTTTGGGCCACTGTACAATAGGTCTCATTCCTGGTAGTTTTGCCAGGCACCACAAATTGTGACAAACGTTTCCATCAGCATAGCTAATGGTAACACCCATCAGAGTGACTCATTGCAACTTATTTACACATTTATAATGCCTACCATTTGTCCACTCATTGAATATTACTGCCATATCTGATATTATGCTTCTACTATGTATCTAGAGATTCTTGATAAAATCTCAAGAGGAATATATAATATTATTGGTCCTGACGTGGAATCTTGATTTCAGTCACTTTCCCACAACAATAAGGTTACTTCCATTGCTAGAAATATTTTCATAGACTTTATGAATTGTTAATATGCTTCCATCTGCCTTTTCCATGCTAATTGTTCTGACCTAAACTTTATGAATTTAAGCCATAATATAGCTTCCCTCTGCCTTTTCTATAAATATTTTCATGCTAATTGTTCTGATGGGCTTTCCTCTTTGGTACCTAGACTTTTGAATTTACCATAATATAGCTTCCCTCTGCCTTTTCTATAAATATTTTTATGCTAATTCTGATGGGCTTTCCTCTTTGGTACCTAGACTTTATGAATTTAAGCCATAATATAGCTTCCCTCTGCCTTTTCTATAAATATTTTCATGCTAATTGTTCTGATGGGCTTTTCTCTTTGGTACCTAGACTT